TGGAGTGGAGCAAATAACATTTATGAAGGGGTTCGGGGAAACCGGCGGGCCGGACTTAGCCGGGAGATGGGAATAAGTCCCCTGCACCTAAAGGGGGGGGGTTTTAAAAAGTTTGCATTTTAAAAAACTGTAGTGTAAAGCACCCTTCTGGCAAGCAGTGGGGAGTGAATGAGGGGAAAAAGTTTTTTTTTTTTTCGAGCCACCCTCCCTTTTTGGGGGAATGGGCCTGTTAAAAAAAAAAAAACAGAAAAGAAAACAAATCAATATAAAGTAATAAAAAATGTAAAAATTAACATTTAACATTAACTTCTTTTTGAAGATTGTTTTGGTGTATAAGATGGGGGGGGGGGAAGGGGGAGGCAATTTATTGTTTGGAGATAGGACAATATGTTTCAGTAAACGAATATCAACCGTGGCTTTTTTATCTATCACAATTCTTTTAATGTGACATAATAAACAATTTTATAACATAGAAACAATATAACTCTAAAATGAATAAAATTGTGATTATGTATGACTATGGGGGTTCTTTGTTGTTTTTGGTTTAGCGGGGTCACTGGCAGCATAAGCATATCAGTAGTGGTGGCAGTGGGGGCTGATTGTCGGGCCCCTGTTACCTCCAGTAACATTGGGGGATTTTAAGTTTCATGTCGTCCTTTTTCTATCGCTTATCGCTTACCCTAATTTTGCAAACAGTAAATGCACCTTTGTCACTGCGGGAAACTATAACCTTTGATAAAATTAAGACACTTGTGCAACATCTGGTTATCTTTATGTAGATTTTTTTCCACCAGTGGCTTTATCAATACAATTTTTGGGACTAATTAAAAATAAAAGAACTAAACAAAAATGAGGTAACATTCCCTCAGCTTGGGGGTGGTGTTACAGCACCATGGTTGAGAGATCAAAGCACGGAAAGGGAGACGGGCGCTTAAAGGCGTGGGTGAATAGGGATGTTAGCAACGAGGCATAGTCCGGGAGGCGGGATTCCCCCTATTCACTGATGCCAAAAGCACCCGCCCTTACCTATGCTTCAAATCTTTAAACCCTGGTGCTGTAAACCCCCTCCAAGGCTGAGGGACGATTACCTCTTTTTTTTATTATTCTTTTGTTTTTTAATTATGTCCAAAATCTGTATTGAAAAAGCCACTGGATTTTAAACTTTCATCTTGTCGGCATTGTATACCCTGCTTGCACAACTAAACCTTTTTGACTCTTGCTCTTTAAATAATGTCATATCATAGAAAACTAAATCACGAAGAAAGGGACCCTTCCCCCTCTTTTTCCCCTTCCTTTGGTACTTTCTATGATTTCTTGCTCTAATTTTATTGTGTTCTTACCTTCTTTTCCAAAAGGGGTGGCATAGGACTTTCTTTTTGGGGCCCCTGGGAGATTTTTAAAAGTTGCAAGCCCAAAAAATAGTGGATAATGTAATGTTTCTATGAACACTGGGGGGTGATGCTCACTTGCTGACAAGCAATGCCAGACTGACTCTTGTGGGAGGCTTTGTGTGCGTGGAGCCACTGGGATCCGTACCGAACAGCCGCCGAATTTAGAGGGAAGTCATGAAAATAGAGGCTATATTTTGAGGAAAAAAGTTGCTGATAATCAAAATTCACAAAAATAGAGCCTCATGAAATTAGAGGGTCCACTGTATGTTTAAAGATATTTTTTTCATTTATGTTATGTAAAAATTAATAATTTTGTACCAAAAGAACCTTAGAAAACTTAGCTAACCTTATTATAACAAGCACAATTTAATTTAGCCTAATCTAACTAAATATATTTTAAATAACTTTACAATAATTTAATAATAAGCAAACACAATGCAATATTTTTTATTTAGGTTAAGAATGATTTATGTTAAATTAATTCATACACAAATTTTCGCTTGCCTTATTCGGCAAAAAGAGTGTTAATATTTAAGCCAAAATCGTGAGTTTTACCTATTCAGCATGACATGTATATGTATGCATATGTAATTTATTTTTCTTTTTGCATGATGAGAATGCCTCTACTCATAGTCTTTAAACATTTAATATTGGTGTATGTTACTGAAAGTAGCAAGGAGCTAATAACCCTTTCTCCTGTATACATACATTACTAAATTTGAAAAGAGAAACTTAAGTTTTTCTTTTTAGGTCACCCTGCCTCTGTGGGATATGACTGATTCTTCGAAAAAAAAAATGTTACTGAAAGGTTCAAATTGTTATTGAACTATATAGGTGCCAACTTTCATACTGGGTTGAGATTATAGATGGGGATTTGTGATCACCCAGTGAATGACTCTTCTAATTATTAGATTTATTTAAATGTTTTTTAAGTCTGTATTTTAGCATTGCTCTTGGAAAACTTCATGTATGATACATTAAGGTTATATAACATACTCTGGTTCCACTAGAAGTTCCCAACTAATGAATGTGTTACAATCATAAGCTCTGATAACCAGGGTGTCTTGTACCCAGAATCAGTTTCTTCAAGGGAGTTTGATCAAAGTCAAAAAGAGCATATTTATCCAGCAAATTACCATACGTTGTCTTTTTTTAAATAATTAATAATACAATGAGCTACAGTTGTATACACAGCCATGTTATGTAAACTACTCTAGTAGCAAAACTGGACATACACAGGATAGGCTGGCTTCACTCATCTAAACTGCTGTAGTAGCAGTACATGTAATATGTACTTGACAGTTTGATGTCATTCACATAAGCCAGTGTGATTTATTAAATATTGTCCTGTATAAAGTTCTTCATTATTCTCTACAAAAAAAATAAGAGCCCACCCCCCATATGCACAAAATAAGCATATTAAAAATAAATAATTTTTTTTAAATTGAATGTTTGCAATTGCTGATCAGTATTCATAAAATTTTAATTTGTATCTACAGGCTTGGTTTGTAAGTATAGATGTTTGTGAGTGGTGATCCTCCTGTATATATTAGTGTGTGGAAGAAATCACAATACAACACAAGATTGCAAATATGTAAAAATATCAGTGAAAATAGGAAATAAAGCCCAAGTGCTGTCATGTTCTTTACTCATGTACATCTTCCTCTGATGATGTGTCTATGCACATGAAAGCACTCAGGCTTTATACAGTGGACCCCCACTTAATGATCACCTCCCAGTGCGACCAATTATGTAAGTGTATTTATGTAAGTGCGTTTGTATGTGTATGTTTGGGGGTCTGAAATGGACTAATCTACTTCACAATATTCCTTATGG